GGGCTGATCTAAGTCAGGGCATGGCTAACTCACAGATAGAACCCTGAAACAACCTCTGGACTGATCTAAGTCAGGGCATGGCTAACTCACAGATAGAACCCTGTAACAACCTCTGGGCTGATCTAAGTCAGGGTATGGCTAACTTACAGATAGAACCCTGTAACACCCTCTGGGCTTATCTAAGTCAGGGCATGGCTAACTCACAGATGGAACCCTGAAACAACCTCTGGGCTGATTAAAGTCAGGGCATGGCTAACTTACAGAAAGAACTCTGTAACACCCTCTGGGCTGATCTAAGTCAGGGCACCGTTAACGTTTTGAAATTAGCTTGTTAAGTTTTGCGTAGAGAAAACCCCTCGAGTTAGGAATCTTGAGAGACATAACGAACTCTATTCACGTGTCGTGTCGAACATGAGACCGCAGAGTTGAGGCGAACGTACAACCGCTACATTACTGACCCAACTTCATATGATATATTTATTAACAGACGTCAGCCCAATAAGATCACATGGAGGTTTTTGCTTGCAGCCAAGTACAGCAGACTGCTCGCCTCCTGAAGGAACTGAAATCATCTACAGCGGCGCGGGAGGAAACAATGTACAATGCTCACAGAATTACATGTTGTTTACCTTGACGACAAAGGGTCGGCTAAAACACTCGTGTAGTGGGATGTATCTATGTCCCGATCCTGATTGTGAGTATGCATTCTATCCCATTCATCCATTCATTCATTTACTCGATCATTCAGTTCATAGTTATCTTGTCTTATTCCCATTGTCAGTATCCATTCTATCCCATTTATCCATTCATTTATTCACTCGATCATTTAGTTCTTAGTTATCTTCTCTTATTCCCATTGTCAGTATCCATTCTATCCCATTCATTCATTCATTCATTCATTTACTCGATCATTTAGTTCATAGCTGTCTTGTCTTATTCCCATTTTTGATTTTAGAAATATAAAAAAACTGTTGTTGTAACCATTGTCAGTATCCATTCTATCCCATTCGTCCATTCATTCATTAACTCGATCATTGAGTTGATACATGATGACTGTTTGTCCCATTTTCTCTGCCTATTTACAGACCTTGACATCGGAGGTTCACTCTTTAATGGGATTCCTGTTGTGTTGAAGAAACAGTGCTATGATAGAAATACAAAGTACACAAGGTATTTGAACATGTCACTTTATATCATCACGTATATGTTGGTCTTTAGCATATCATCTTCGTCAACATTATCATCACCACCACCAYCATCATCATCACCAACATCATCATCTACTATTATCTTCATTATTATTTATCATCATAATCACTATCTGCCCTCTGATCTGCCCTGTTATCATCATCACCTAGCTTCATCATCATCATCATCATCATCATCCCTATTATCATGATCACCATCATTATCTATCATCATCATCATCATTAATCGTCATCATCAAGATCAACATCATCTTCACTATCATCCACGATCACTGATTGTCATCATAAATATAAATAAATATTTTATCGTTGATAATATATTAAATTGTCATTATTAATGATTGGACTACAAGCTAACATAACGACAGACTGTATTACTGATGCTCTAGACTTTCATTGGAACGTTGCTCATTAAAAAGTTCTCTCCAACATTAACAATGTATCATTGACTGCGACGACGAAGTCAACCGGAAGTGTGAATAATTTCTCTTTGGGGTACGTTTTCTTCATTGGAGATTTCATTCAAAATATTGTCAGTAAAGTCAACCCATCCACAGGGAAGACAGACTTTGAAGGCCTGCGCGAAACCCCAAAGTAATGATATTTACACTTCCGGCTGGCGTCACCGGCTGCACCTCGTTGTTTTATACCTGATAAAACACTCCTGCTCGTTTTTTAAATACTCAAAAAAAAAAAAAAAAAAAAACCCTTCTGTTTACGCGGAACCGGATCGCTAATTTTTACGGCCCAGCGTACGAATTTTGGTTCGGTTATCTCAGTCCTCTAAACGTACAACTTTTTGTCTAAAATTCGTCCGGTACCGTGTAAACGCAACCTTAAAGTCTCTTATCTCTTCTACAGGACAAGTGATAAATCACTGCGTCACATTTCATCAGGGTTCTGTGTTCACCCGGAGTCTAGTACCCCTACATCTGGGACAAAAGCTGTCTTCTGGAATCAATGTGATCTCAATCGGTTGGAGCTCGAATTCTATGAGTTGCGCGATTGATTTGATGGCCAAATATGCGTGTTGTTAGTTTGTAGAATTTTTTGTTTGTTTGATTGCATGGTTTTTATTTTTATAATTTCTGCATTTTCACGGCTACACTTTCCGAGTTGCACGATTGATTCGATAATTGTCATATGTTTTTTAATCGTCTCATAAGAATGGTTGTTGTGCGACATAACACAGTAGTGGCTTTCCATAATAATGGTTATTGTATGAGATGCCGTAACACTGAAATGGCTTCCCATAAGAATGGTTATCGTACGCCATGCCTTAACACTGAAATGGCTTCCCATAAGAATGGTTATCGTATGCCATGCCTTAACACTGAAATGGCTTCCCGATGGTTAACGTACGACATTCCATTCCATAACATTGACATGGCTTCCAAACATGGTTATCGTATGACATGCCTAGTTAACCGACACTGAAATGCCTTCCCATAAGAATGATTATCATCATTGTTTGATTGCATGACTATTTTTCTTCATAGAATACCAATAAACAAAATATACGACTCAAGTCTCTTATGTATTACAACACTAATTAGCTGCATAGCGAGCGAACGAGCAACTTGTGCTACAACAACAACAACATAATCATGACTTACTTGATATCAAACGAGAGACTCTTCTCTTGGGCTAGCAGTTTTCAATTTTAAGATGCATCTTTAATCGTCCGGGATATTTTATTTTCCCCACGATGAACTTGCTTCTGCAAAGTTGCGTTTGTTGTTCACATCTAGATGTGAGCCCGCAAACCATGTGATAGCATGCAGCCATTATGAACATGCGCAGTGTAAAAACCTATTTCTCCTCGTTTTCGTTTTTTTTTTTCCTTCTTATCTACACTTCTTTCCCCCCGACAATTTAAAGTCCATGAAGAGCTCAAAACATTTCTAAACTATAAACTTTCAAATTTAAAGTAAAATAAGTAAATAATTAAATAAATGAATGAATGAATGAATGATTGATTGATTGGGCCCCACCTAATAAATTTAGCTTTTTTTATTGAAACCTTTATTTTACAAGGGTAATATAATTGACCTCTCAGTTATCAAACTTATGTCCCTCGAAAACGAAAAGTAAAGCTATAAATTAGAAGGGGAAAAAAAAGAAGAAAAAAAGAATAAAGACATTTAACCCTACCCCGTTTTGAAAAATCCCTTTAATCCGCTTTCAGTAGCTCTTAAGAAGTTATTTGATAGTTGAGATCCAKATAAGATTACATAAAACTAGAGTCAAGGGAGTGTTATTAAACAAGTAGGTAGACTGACCAAGACTAAAGCAACAATGTTTTAATAACATGCAATATTACAATAATCAATACCCAAACTCCCTAACATTTAAACACAACATTCCCATAACATTGAAAATAAAAAACTGACTTAACCCTTGCGTTCTTCATGTAATCGGAGTTTTTCTTGATATTGTGGTATAATATTTACAAAGTGTTATCTTCGCTAGCTTACAACATGATTATAGTGTGCAGTCTGGTTTGTGCAGAACTAAATGTTACGTGCCCAACAGCCGTAGAGATACATTATATTAAGTCAAGAGAGCATAAATAAGAGATCAAAACTACAAACGGAAAATGCGCGCATTCGCGCTAGTTGAAGCACAGGAGTAGGGTAAGGCGAAATTTAAACTCTATCCAGTTTCTAAAAATAGCCCAACCAGTAATTTACATTGCGCGCGCGATATTCAGAAGTATCCCTCTCTTATTAATGCTCTCTTGATTAAGTATTATACTGTGAAAGCGTAAGTCCGGTTTAGGCACAAACTACAAAACTACTGTACGACATGCCGTAACCTTGAAATGGCTTCCCATAAGGATGGTTATCGTACGGCACGCCGTAACATTGAAATGGCTTCACATAGGGATGGTTATCGTACGACATGCCGTAAGACTGAAAAGGCTTCTTATAAGGATGGTTATTGTACGACATTCCGTAACATTGAAATGGCTTCCCATTAGAATGGTTATCGTACGACATTCCGTAACAGTGAAATGTCTTCCCATAAGAATGTTGTTATCGTACGAAATGCCGTAACATCGAAATGGCTTCCCATWAGAATGGTTATCGTACGACATTCCGTAACATCGGAATGGCTTCCCATAAGAATGTTGTTGTCGTACGAAATGCMGTAACATTGAAATGGCTTCACATAAGGATGGTTATCGTACGACATGCCGTAAGACTGAAAAGGCTTCTTATAAGGATGGTCATTGTACGACATTCCGTAACATTGAAATGGCTTCCCATAAGAATGGTTATCGTACGGCATTCCGTAACAGTGAGATTGCTTCCCATTAGAATGGTTATCGTATGACATTCCGTAACAGTGAAATGGCTTCCCATTAGGATGGTTATCGTACAAAATAGCTTCCTATGATAATGACTACAGTACGGCTACAAATTTGGCGTATCCGGCTTCCCATTCATAAGAGAACCGCTAGAGTCTATATACAGGGCAACACAAACTGAAAGACAGCAATAGTACAAAGATAAAAATTATCCAATTTGATTAAAAATAAGCTAGAAAGTCGAGTTACTTCACATGTCACTAAYGTATTCTTGTGATGGAATTCCAGGCAGGACACGTTTTGTTTTCTTATTACGTTGGCTTCGGCGAGGCTTCACATCACTGTCGGTTGGTTTGGAGGACTATGAATTGTAAATAAAAACAGCTCGTGTGATTGGTTTAGGCGATTTTCTTGCGACTACGTGTACTGTATCCTGTACTGGGCTGAAAATAGATGGCAGGAGTTGTGCATTATAAGGTAGCGTTGAGAGGTTGTTTATAAGCATAGTGATAAAAGTAAGGAAAGGAATATATACAAACATGAAAAACTGTGGATTAAAAAATATTTGTAGGAAACTTCTTTATAGGAAGAAAGAATGAAGGAAGAAACAGAAGAAAAGCAAGGAAGCAAGGAAGCAAGGAAACAAGGAAGCAAGCAAGCAAGCAAGCAAGCAAGCAAG